ACGGTGAAGGAAAACATCGTGAGGTCATCAGTAAACATCTGCATATGTGATAATCCGACAACTCGTATTGGGACAGCACGGTGGACAATCCCTTGGCCTAAAAACCTCTCTGAAACAAGAGACCGGGAGTGGGACGTGTATAGGTTGTAGCTTTATTTACTTTTTTTGACTTACTTGACATTTGACTTCGAGTTTTTTTGACATGTGAAGTGTGTAGGTACTCCATTAGTCTCTCAGAAATGAGAGGAGGACTTTGCTTAGCAGTGGGTTGTATATAGGCTGTAACTTTAACTTTTAACTTAAAACGTAATTAATTTTATTTGACCGACTAAAAATGAGTAATGCCGTATATTTTAAGTTTTATAATCGTTTGTCCCATCAAGCCGATAAAAAGTTGGTAACCCTACTAGATGCGCTTAATGGGAGTGGTATGTAAAATCATAAATACGTGTTTTTTTAACACTTGTTCTATTTGACAGACAAACAAACAAGAAAGTCACTTAATAAAATGTGGTAAAATATAAACATCATTGTGTGGTAAGTACTACTAACACAGGCAATTCGGTATCCATTTACTGTTATTTTTAAAATTTATATGAGTAAAAAAAAAACACGCACAAGAAAAAACCGCAAATAATCCAATATTATAATACCATTAATGTTCCACCACAGAATAAATAATAGTACAAGTTCTACCAAAAATAGTTTTTAAAAACTTTCCTTGTCACCTTCATTATACCAAAGTCATTAACCTCGTGTTTACTAGAGCGCGTTAAACGAAAGTGAATCATGTTTAAGTGAATGAGTGATTAGCCACAGTCTCACAGTAAAATGTCTTCAAATAGGAAAGCTTAATAATTAATAAATAATTAACACAAGGATTTTAATCATTAACCACCATGATCGTTAATTCCAAACAACTTCGATAAATTGCGTGACAGACATAAGGTACCTATTAATTACATTTTCCCAGAAGTGTTGTTTTAGGAAACCCTACTAGTGTTGTCCTGTGAATAATTTTCCGCAACCACACCCATACCTGTTTAGATTTTTTGGCTTCTATGATATTTCTAATAAACTTTTTTTTCGGTTTATGACCTGTCGTTTATAGACCTAAATATAGGTCAAATCTGTTAGGGAAATTAACCTTTGACCTATAAATACTACCAAGCGCGATGAGTGCCGGTTACATTAAATAATCAATTTGGAAGAAGCTTTTTGTACAAGTTTGAGACTTATCCCTTTGAGATAACATTTTTTTTTAAATAATGATGATATGAACAATAGGGAGCACATGTACCTAATTTTAAAAAGAAAGCTCAAGCAGAGGACTAAAATCTTCCAATGTCATCAAAATGTATCGTTTAAAAAGAAGTAAAAAATATAGAATATAATTTACTATTACTATACAACATAAGTCAAATTATTATTATTATATCTTATTATTTTTTTTAAAAAAAATTATAATTCAGAATGAATTGTTACGTTGTGCAATATCAATTTAAAAATATTTCATAATAAAATCTGAGTAGGTTATCCACGAGTGAGAAATTGCGAAAGAGAGACAAAATACCGTTTCAGAACACAAAATTTTTTGACATAATTAAAAGTTAAACCTTTGATCCGATCTGATTTCCGCACTGACCAGCCTGTACATGCACAATCTCACGCATTTTATAAAATACAACACACTCACTACTATCACTCTTAAATACAATACTATTAATGAATTATTAACACATAATTCGTGAACACATGCAATACTTAAATCACAGTTTACTTTAAAGAGAGTATAATTTGAACCGTGCTTAAATATAGGAAGGGAAATTGTTATGCCTTATCGAAATTTATCAATATTATCAACCCATTCCTATTAAAGGCTGGGCGAACACTGATAAAAAGCGATTGGACTGGAGTTGTAGCAATCGTTTTTATTTGGTCTCGGAACAGAATCACTGCCTAAACGTAATATAGAAAAGACGGTATCATGCAATAATGGACCCAAAGACTACTATGTTACACGGAAAAATGGACCTTATTAACAATTGAAATATTGTTTTAATTAGTTAGGTACGCGTTAAGCTACTTGATTATAAGTATTTTTGTATACTAACTGTCTTTATTTCTTTATAGTTTCTTAATATATTCGAGTATATACCTAAAATATGTAATATACTAAAATTATACCTAAACTTTTTGAAAGATTTCACTACATTATAACTTATAACACAAGATTTATTTTACATACAGCAAAGTACTCTTTGCTGCAGCATAGGTACCCGTAAATATTTGGAATTCCTATACTCTTTGCTGCTAGTAAAACGCAATAATGTAATTAACAGTCGATCAATTTCATGTCTTATTTGGTTGATTTTACGAAATTAAATCGGTTTCCTCTTCATATTTACGGTATGCATAACCCAAAGAAAATTATAACCCCATCTTATTCTTATCCACGCTATTACGTTTAGGTTGGGGTGTGGTTAGGGCAAGCGGTCAAGGACATTTTTCAACGTTCCTTTTCACACAATTTTTATGCAGTAATTGTAGTATTTTAGAATAGGTCTTCAGTTTGTGGTTCTTCAATTGTGTATAGAAAGATTTATTATTAAATTGTAAATTAATATTCTTTAAATATTTTTCACTTTTAACAAACCAGCTCACAGTCTACATGATGAGTACAGTATTTCAGAGTATTCAGTTTTTGGTTATTCACTTGTGTAAAAAAGATTTATTATTAAATTGTAAATTGATATTCTTATAACATTTGACCTTTGCGAGTTCGTCAAAGGTCACAGTCTACATGATGGTAAGTTACTACCAGTAACACTCGAAACACAAACAAGGTTAGAGATGCATCGCCGACTGAGATCATATAAATTATGCTGTGTCCATCATTATCTATGAGGACTATGATAGAATCCTTCACAGCCTGTATTTATATTTTATACTGGCTTTCCCCGCACACCCTTCACGCCGAAAAACAGCAGCGGATAAACTGCAACTTAGCGCCAGGGATAAGTAACAGGGTCTACATAGGAACTGATTTATATTTTAATAAAATTGTTTGCAATCATTAGCCAGAAACGCTTTTCAAGAAATATTTTTTCTTCAGACTGTTCTAAAACAAATTTTAAAGGAAACTTCACCACAAATTGCACCATAAACCGAAATGCAAATTACATCTAAGTGGCATCAAAATAATGGTTATTTTAGTAAGTTTTCATATATATAGGTGGTACGATTGTTCTATATTTAACGTTTGGTATTGTGTATACGATGAAACAAGTGATTAAAATTAAAATATAAAATTATGATATAAACCTTACAGCGCTTGGGATACTACCGTCATATACTACTTATGTTGTGTTAGCCACCTTCAAATTTTATGTCAATCTTAGCAATGTGATGCATTCAGATATTGTGGAAAAGTTCAGACAAAATTTAGTGAAATATATGTACATATATTACTGCGTTTCATGTGTTTTTAATACTGGAGTTCTGGAAGCTAATGTAAAAAATAAATAAATTAATTAATACATTTAAAAATGAATAAGTCAGAAAGTTCGCCAGCTTTCAAAGTGTACCTCCGTACCCCGAAGTTGAGGATAAGTTGTATTAGTTTTGATTTTTATATGAGTATTTATGGAGTTTCTACAAATACCTTTTTCGTATTTACTACGTGTTATCGTTATTAACTACTTAAAAATTAGGATACCTTATTACAAGCGTGACAAACGAACACACAGTCTGATGTACACTATGCACCTATACTTGATTGAGGATCAAAATCCAGGTGCATCGTCACCCCTGCAATCTAAGATGGAATTCTTTCTTACCTATATATTGCTTACTTAACCCTTTCGTTGTCCCGTGCACTACATATAGGTCATTTCTATTGTCTTACTATTATGTCTGAAAACCGGACAGTGAAAGTGTTAATAGTGTTATTTTAGTCCCGCCGAAGATTTAAAATAATTATTGTTTGGTATAGGGTAAAGTCGATTAATACTACGAAAAGCTTAAACTATGTCTATATTAAGATTCGAACACTAAATTCTTTTTTAATATCTTAAAATTAGATTATATACTTTTACGCATAAAGAGCCCGGCAAATGTGAAGTAATATAGCTAGGTTCATATATCAAACTCTAACAAATCTCATATTTACACACAGAGAAGCTTTATCCCGTTATTAAGGCAGCACCAAGATGTAATTATGCGAAGGTTTTTTCGGGAAGACTTTTATGAGTAATTTTTGCAAATTATCAAGATATTTTGACTCATGTTTGTCATTTTTGTTGACAGGGAGAGTTTTAGCAAGAACTTGACCGCCGCTAAATTGCAGCTCGTGTATTAAGTATTTAAATAATGGTTCACAGTGTATTTTAATACAGTGGTACGACTTTATGTATTAAATGTCTGCACATGTGAACTATTAGTGGAAATGATGAAACGGGAAACTTAATTTTTAAAAAAACTGTTATCATTAATTTACTCTTAGGTAAATGATAACTAGTTTATTTACTATTTTTGTTTGTGTGGGATAGTTGTCCAAACCCCCATACAAGTAATATAATGTCCTAACGAAACTGGAGTGAATATGTATGATTATCATACATAGTAAATAAAATCAGATCATATATTACGTTTATGTGTTAGATATTCGTGAACACTTAGAATAATATTTTTACGATACTTAACCTTCAAATTGCCTTCTAGAGAGAGTTAGGCTGTTGGGCAAAGATCCCTTTACCTTTATATCATTTAAAAATGACATCATTCGTTGTTTTGACATTGACAATTGACATATTTATCATTTTCATTTCTTGAGTTTGGTTTGGCAACTTGGCATATTATAAAATAAATGTGCGTAATACGCTATGTGTACAAATAAAATTATTTATAATGAGTAACCAAACAAATAAAAAAATACAAAATAGAAACAAAATTAAATTATTTATTTTGTTTCACATCAAATTGTCTTTAAAAATGTAATGATGAAATTAATAAGAATAATTCTCACAATTTCTATATGTGCAACAGCACTAATTGGAGATTATATAGTTTTTAAATCAAAATACTCAGAATCGCTAGTTTTTCGCGCTTTTGCCGACAGTACAGTTCATGCGAGTATAGGCTTTCTATCGGCCGTCCAGTTTTTTAGCCACGAGATTGGATTAACTGACCAAGCACGCCTGTATAATATAGCCTTTTGTACAATCATTTCATCTCTAATAGATGTTGATCATTTCATTGCTGCAAGGTCTTTTAGACTCAAGGTAAGTTCACTACACATACAATAACAGGATAATAACCAGCAATAATCTCTAGGGTTGCCAACTTTGTTATAAAATATAATGCTGTATTTTTTTTAAAGGATAAGGGTGACAAACGGGCACATAGTCCACCTGGTGGTGTTCGCTCTGGCCCATAGACATCTACATCTATCCTCAATAACAAATCAAAATGCAAATGCGTTGTCAGCCGTGAGGACTAAGATGGAATGCCTCGTTTCCAGTAAAAGGGGTCTCTGGTTCTCTATACTCATCATACAAAATTCAGCAGTGTCAAGCTGCTATTTTATACTGGTATTCTGGCGTGGTCTTTCCCTGGTCGAGCCGACCCATTCATGCTACAACTAATACCAGTAATATAGCTGAAGCGTGGCTCTACCATGTAATATGATCTCTATTACTTATCTCCCATGTACCCCTTATATGTACTTCCTAAGCTGTTTAGAAATATCTTTTAAAAGAACAATAACTTCTCTACCTCTAAGCTTGCAGATAGTTATAATTTATTTGATTTTTTAACGTATTATTATTGCATTTATATTGATATTTACGTAATTGTTAAAATTAAAGTATAATAACTGTTACTAATGATACACACTCAACTTTTATTGGGCTTCACTGAAAAATAGCACTGCCGGTAAATTCTATGTGAGAATATATTATGCCAAGGACAGTTGCTGTCTATGCAGATAACCGCATTTATATTTATCTCCTTTTATTAACATACAAGTCAGTCGAAATACTTGTTTCACTTTTATATTTATCTTTTGAAGAGTATTTATTGGTACATGAGGTGGTATTGTAACAATATCTACTACCCCATATTGTGCCATGGGTGTCTTAAGAGATGAGAGAGAAACTGAAACAAGATGGGTACCATGTTTCTTAATAAAAAAAAAGTTGCCAACCCTTCTGCCAAGCATGGTAACTGCAAATATGATTCCTATGGGGAGGCCTATGATGGTGATTTTTGTGTCAATTGAGCTAGTTTTAATTGATTTTTAAAATCTTTGGTAAGCTTTCATTTTAAATTAGGAAAAAATATATAAAAATAGCTTGTCAGGCAGACTTTGTTCTGCCCTTTCCGATGACCCTTTGTCCTTTAAGAAATCTTTAATTTATCATGATAAAAACTATCCTATCTCTCACGTTGGAGCAAGCAATACCAATTTACAAAATTTCATTAAAATTGGATGAGTGGTTTCGGAGTATATCACGGACAAACAAGGTGACACGTAATTTTATTTTATTTTATTTTATTAAAATTGGTTTACCAACAACTTATGCACTAACATCTTCACATATAAATCAAGCGATATAGTTAAAAAAAAAATCTAAGTACACAGTCAATTATAGGTAAACACCACATGCATAACTTTTATCGCGACAATTAAAAGACGAATTTATACTTATTGAATAGAAACACTGTAGTATTGCCATTATAAAATTCACTAAAACAATCTGACCAAAAACAGAGCGGCAAGGTATAGATTTACAAAATTTACAAAATTTAAAAAAAAAAATTTAAAATTTAAAAAAATTAAAAGATTAAAAAAGGAAAAAGTGTTAACAAGGCAAATGTTTATAATCTGAGGTACCTATCATATAGACAGCCTTTCGAAACTTTCCCAATGAAACATGGTTAATGTCGACGAGATCGCTAATTTGGTTAAAAAGTCTGATCATCCTACAAATTGGCGAATGTGATCCCAAAACAGTTCGTCGTAATGGAGGACTGAGTGGTGTAATAGCTTTTCGTGGAGGCCTGAACGGAACTCTAAAATTAATCTTTTGTAAAAGTTCTGAGCAGTCTATGATATTGTGGAGTAATTTAAATAAAAATAACAAATCAGAAACCTCTCTTCGTTTGGATAAACTGGTCATGTTAAAGCGCTTAAGACGGGTCTCGTAACTGATATGCCTGCCTCGCATACCCGAAGAATATGAGAGATGCCGAAGAAAGCGCTTTTGTACCCGTTCTATTCTCAATGAGTAGCGTAGTGCGGTCGCCAGATTACACTACCATACTCCAGTACACTTCTGACCAGACTACAATAAAGGATTTTTTTAGTTCTAATGTCTCGGAATTCCTTACTATTTCTTATAACAAAACCCACCATTCTCGATGCCCTGCCGATCGTTTGTTCCATATGTGGTATGAATGTAAGTTTTGTGTCCAATAAGACGCCTAAATCACGCATGATTTCTGTCTCCTTAAGTATGTTGCCTGCTATTGTATATGAAGATGAAATTTTGTTAAGTTTTCTAGTAAATTTTATGTGTGTACATTTTTTGGCATTCAATTTAAGTCCATTTTTTACGCACCAAGAATTCAAGATGTCTAAATCCTTTTGAAGCTTCATAATATCGCTCTCATTATTTATGACTTTAGACAGTTTCAGGTCATCAGCAAACATATGCGGTGAAGAATAAAGAAAGTGATCAGGCAGATCATTAATAAATATATTAAATAATATTGGGCCCAAATGCGAGCCTTGCGGTACGCCAGAGGAAATAGAGTGTAAGTTAGATTGGTACCCATTGACTACCACATAAAAGGATCTATCGCTTAAATATGATTCTAGCCAATGCAGAATAGGTCCAGCGAAGCCATACATTTCTAATTTTTGGAGGAGCACGTTGTGGGGAACTGTGTCGAATGCTTTGCTGAAGTCCGTATAAATGGCGTCAACTTGCCGATTGTTATCCACAGCTTCCATAAGGTCTTCAGCAAAGCACATGAGATTCGTAGAAGTAGACCTTCCAGCTACAAATCCATGCTGTTTACTAGAAGTGTATTTTTTGAAGTGATTTTGTATATATGGGCAAATGATTGCTTCTAGCAACTTAGCAAAAACAGGCAGGATAGAAATTGGCCTATAGTTCCGAACGTCTTGGTCATCATCAGACTTATGAATTGGCACGACCTTAGCAGACTTCCATCGCTTTGGAAATACTCCACTTGTCAACGATTCATTTAAAATGAGCCTTAAAGGCGCTGATAAACTATTAGCACAGTTAACTATGAAGTATGGTGGAATATTATCAGAGCCTGCACCTTTCGATATATCTAGACCCTTAATACGTTTGAGAATATCATCGTGACTTATGAAATATGTGCTAAACAATCCGAGTTGATACTAGTATTATTAGTTGCATTATCATAGAGTGACGGCTGTTTGCAATCACTATATACCTCCGAAAAATAATTTGCAAACATTTCACAGATACCCTTACCTTCATAACTTGTGGTAGATCCATTTTTCATGGCCGTTGGGTATATACCATGACCACCTCTTTTGGTTTTGATATAAGACCAAAAGTACTTTGGGTTGTCAGCTATTTTTGCCTCTGTGCTTCTAAGGTAGTTTTTATAACAATCCGAAACTTGTTGTTTACATCGTTTTGACATCAAATGATAGGAAATTTCATCAAGCGGATTTTTGTATTTTTTAAATCTAATTCTAAACTTATTCTTTTCGCGCAGTCTTTTGATAAGCTCCTTACTGTACCATTGGGGATATTTATGTTGTTTCTGCCTTTGTTCCGGCACATGTTTCTTAATGGTGCAGTTAAGTTTATCATAAAACACATCTATCATTTCATCCACGTTCTTGGTTAGTGAAAAGATTTCTGGCCATTGGACACTTTTAAGCTCTAGATTAACTGCCTCATAGTCAGTTTTGCGAAAGTTCAGTTTTATATTGTTAGGGTTAGCTAACATTGTGGCGAATTCGAAGCTCAGCTGAAATTCCAAGGGGGGATGTAGATTATCGACTACGCTCAAGAAGTCCAATGGCTTGGATAGCTGACACATAGGGAGATCTACAAGAACTAAGTCTAAAATTTTACCCATTTTATTAACAATATTATTGACTTGTTTATAGTTATTAATATTACAAAAGTCCAATAAATATTGGCAAATCGCAGAACTATGGTAGTAATTGCTTGACTTACCAAACTGCTCCCAATCTATGCTTCCCAGATTAAAATCACCAACAATACAAATATGGGACTGGTTTTCCTCAATAACAGAGTTGCAATTATCCACGAAATGCTTTATTAGGTGCATCGAGACTGGTGGTGGCAAATAAACGGCGCAAAATACGAACCTTTGACAGGTATTTGAAAAAGATGTGTCAATCGCAACCCAGAGATCCTCGCAGTCGCTTTCCCACATAGTTATCCTTTTCGAGTTAAGCTCTTTAGATACTGCTATTAAAACTCCACCCCCTTCCTTTTCGTTATGAAAGCCAGACGTCTCTCTGTCCCTTCTAAATACCTTATAACGATCATCGAATAACTCAGAACTAATAATATTTTCATTTAACCATGTTTCACTTAATATTATAATATCGTAGCTAGACGCTGTTAGATTTTGATAGAACGAATGAGTTTTAGTCCGAAGGCCTCTTACATTTTGATAGTAGACATTTAATTTATCGTATTTTATTTTGTTAACAATAAGTACCATACATTAAAATTACGAGTTTAAATTAAAAAAGAAAAAAAATGACAAAGTATTAACTTATTTAACTTTACTTAGAGAGTCCATATCTCTTATGACTATAAAGTCTGAGTTGTCCGTTTTCCTTACAAAAATACGGCCATGACGTATCCACACATGCTTGTATCCATTTTTCTTCGCAGCCAGCCTGGTAGCTGCGTGTAGTGCCTTGTTGCCGGGGGACAGGTGTTCAACCACAAATACTGGTTTTTTCTCTCCGCTGTAACCCAAGTGGGTGGTATTTAATTTTTCCGATACCGGTCTAGGTTTGTTGAATTTAATAGCTGCTGCCAGGAAACAATCACGGTCTCTGGGTGTGGCAAGCTGAACAATAATCGATCTAGGGCGAGCGAGATTATCGCGATTGATTTTGGCAATTCTGGTGCAGTGTACTATTTTCTCCGGAGAGATGGGGAAGTCTATAACATTGCTCAATTTTGATACTATGTTTGTAAGGTTCTCCTCTTTCTTTTCGGGA